CTGCCAAAAGTTTCGAAAGCTTAGTTGAGATTTTTTTTGCATCCACCGTATACTTCAGACATTCAGACCGTATACTTCAGACTCTGCAAAACTATCTTAATGCAAAGAGCACTTGATTCAGTTTTTTATCCAGAAACCACAGACGACACACTAGATTACCTAGTACATAATAGATTCATGTTCGATAACTTGTACACTTCTTCACTTTGCGTACCATTTAAAAGATAATTCTTAAGTTATTCCTAAAAATAAATAGTGGCCTGATTTGGTAGCATATAAAACAAACTAAGTACTTCGAGTAAATACCAGTATTATATTACCAACTAGACCATCTCGCCCTCCTCGTCCGTTATCTTACAAGACAACCCTCTGCGACAGTTCTGCATAACGCATTCTAAGGGCATTCGTTGTCAAATGTTCATGAATATTCAGAATGACTGGAGTATGTGATTGTTTAATTATGATGGGAGTATACATTAATTTACTTCGTATACGTATACGACACGATGCTATACACGATCGTAGGGGAGATCAGAGCTGCTCATCAAAATAACGACGGGGACGACATGACTCAATTGCTGCCTAAATATTTTTGAATGTTTGCCAAGTTTATCAAACTGGAAAAGGGTTATTTTTCATGTTTTATCTCTGTCATAATAAGAGGAGTCATTATAGTCAGGTGATGGTAATTAGAATAATAAATATATGTACAGGGTGTAATCATTCTTAAAAACTGGGACAATTGTGGTATTTTTTTACATATTATTGCTTGTGGTCTTAAACATGTAATTCACGATTACGGTAGCAAATTTTAAATCAACAAATTAATATAAGTTAACCACAATATCCAAAAAAACTTTGCACTTAAAAGCTCATATATTCCAAACAACGTGAGATTTTTCATAATTATTTTCAGGACTCATTTCGTTAAGCCCAATACTACCATGCACGCACTAATTGATTTAATAAAGATTTGTGAAAGTGTAAAAAGATATGATGATGTTTTGAAAAATGGTCAAGGATTATTTTATAGTCATTGCAAAGCAAATTGTTGCGGTTCTCGTATTTATGGCTGTCTCATTGTGTAATGATATTAGGCATCCTTCGCTAATCTTCTTTTAAATAAGTTATTTTCGAAATGTAGGATCGTGGGATTGAAAAAATCTATGTTATGTTTGAGGTTATTAATGTGATCTGCTAGCATTGTTTTATATTTGTTCTTGTTTTTGGGATTGTTTTTATATTCTGATTTTCTTTTGTGAAAGTTTTGACTGTTCACTATTAAACGCAATTACAATTTAGATAATTAAGCTTATAAACTAGGTTATTTAGGATTCTTGGGTTAAATTTGGATTTTAATTTTGTAAAAAGAGTTGAAAGAGTGTTTTCGGAAGTACAAACTACTCTGATATTATTTTTACTGAAAAGTTTTCTCCACTGATAATGCAATTTTTTAAAAGATAAACTTATAGTTCCGACGCTTATAGTTTTTCATGGTTTGAATTTTTATTTGAATTTCATTTGAATGGTTTGAAGATATAGTAGTTCTATATTTTTATATCATTTTCCTTCTAGATTATTTATAAAATTTTTTAGTTGTTCTACTGAATGACGGTCTCGACGAAGACCGAAACGTATGGTTAAATAAAGCTTTTACAACTGGTTTAGTTTTTTTTTTTACTTGGTGTTACTGCCGGAACCAAAATAAACTCATCAAAATGTATATCAAAACCAAATTGACATACTTTAATATATATATACTTTTTTTTTCTTCAGTATGCTTTGTATGACGACCGGTTAGTATGACGAGATTTCGGCGTCTCTTCGATGTCATACTAAGCGGATTCTACTGTATATATATATATATATATATATATCTATATATATATATACTATATATATATATATATTTGGGTGGTCCTTGATATAGATATTTTTGATGGTTTTCTCTAAGGGGGCTCAATTACTTTCAAATTGATAAAAAAATCTCGGAAAAGTTTTAGCTCTTAATATTAACTTTAAGATAGTCCGCACTCAATTAAATTTTTTTATGGAAATACATGGAAAAAATTTTATTTGTCTTTTAGAATTTTATAACATAGCGATAAGTGAATCAAATTTTTAAAATAACATTGTATTTGCTTATTTTGATTATAAAGTAAAAATTTACAACAAAAATTTGATATATTTTATAAAAGAAGTAATTACTTAGAACGAAGAACTTTGGTTGAAGTGCGGACTATCTTAAAGTTAACATTAAGAGCTAAAACTATCAGATAATTTTTTTATTGATCTGGAAGCATTTAAGCCCCTAGGAGGAAAAAAAATCGAAAATATACAAATTGACGACCATTCTAACAACATAACCATTTACATATAGGGTTGTTTTACTTCTGGCACAAGCCAAACACTAGTTTATCTTTCCAAGGCAAATTCGGATTCTCATCTAATCAGCGACTGACTTAGATATTTAAGACGAGACGTACCTATGACATTGGCGGAAATTGTGAATACGAGCGAAAACACAGTAAGATCGATTCATTCATTAGAGCGGCGTCACCTGTTTTACTTATACGCCCAGAATCAAATTGCGATCAAGTTGCTACGCCGGAGCCGTAATTGCGGTCGCAACGCAAATTACTACGCAATTAATCCGTCAGTCGTCTTATTATCAAATACGCATTACTCAGATGTTCGCTTTCTACGAGGAAATTGTTTTGTTTGATTCATGCGTTTTCCCTTTGTTCACGAAACAATTGGTTGCAAAACCTTTTGAGACAATGAATAGTTTTATCGTACATTTATCATCAAAATGTAATATTATGCAAGTCTATTGGTTGCAACGTATGGTATGTTTTTGGGGCATCAGAATGAATTAAATATATGCTTCAAATTATCAATGAATCGAATTGAATAAGCCACACTCCCGAAGATACACACACACTAGTGGCGGACACCTAAGGTTATTTATAAATAAATCTATTTTACTAATGTTTATTAAATTATGATTTATGTTAGATAACAAAGTTAGAAATCAACCTAAATTAACAAAACCGTAATCTTTGCTAAAAAATAATTAATTAATCAAACTTTGGTATCAAAAAATAGCATTTTAACAGCGACTAGTACAGGACATTTCAAAATAACTGCATTGATCACATATGTAGCCATCTCGACATTCTGGAATATCTGCATATGTGTCTTTGACGAATATTCTTAGATATTACAAAAAAAGTCACTATTTCTCCTTTTTGCTGGGCCACACTGATGCTTTCAGCTGGTGCATTCACCATAAGCTTTTCATTCTTCGACTAGGAAATACGAAAAATGGGGTATATAGTGACCATTAACACTCATACAGAACAAAATTAATAATCGGAATAAATTACGTATATTCTAACAAGAAATATCAATATGTTTACTGTCCGGGACACTATGGGACGACTTAGTGTCCGGTGCTAAGGACAGACATTTTCGTTCATTTGGTGGCACCTACTAAAAATGAGTAAAAGACCTAATAATATTCTACCATTTTACGGATAACAATAAAGTACAATGTTTATTTTTGCATACTACTCAAATATAAATGCATAAATATGCTAAAATTATTTTCATTAATATTTAGGTGACGCCATGATTTTACACCTAAAACAAGAAAGGGTTGCCGTGGATGTGTGCAAGCGAGGCTTGGCGCGTGATCCTGTACCTGTGTGCCCCCCATGCCCCTTTCACTTGTATTTTGAAATAAAAATATTTATACTCGCTTAAATAATACATGTTAAATAGTGTCCTGCGCTTGGTGCCGTCGTTACGGGACATTTACGGGACATATATATATATATATATATATATATATATATACAGGGTGTTTCATGCCTTGACGTCAAATCGAAACGGGGAGATAGTATTGGCCTTAACTGTCCTAAAAAAATTAGAAAAGAAAATATCTTACGTTGTTTGAAAGTTACGAGCTTTCGAGTGCAACTCAGAGCTATGGTGAAATTATGACCATTTTTCGGCTTCAGCCATTAATTTTTATTAACTTTGTTCACTTAAACTTTAAACCATAATCGTGAATAACATTTCTAGAACCACAATCAAAAACATTTACATAATTGCCTCTAGTTTTCAAGAATTAAAACTTTTTGTTAAACTTTGAATACATTTAAAAAAAATAGATTTTTTAAGAAAAGTTGAACCAGAAATCATACAATATAATGTAAGATCCAGATTAATGGTTCAGGTTTTTACAACTTAGCTAATCTCTTGGCATGTAAAATTTATTATTACATAATATATTTCAGATCTATCGCATCTTCAAAATATCACATTTGTATATATCGTCTTGAAGAATATCGAAATATCCACATTAACCTATTAAAAGTGCAATAAAAGGAAACACAAATCCACTTTCAATATGAAAACTAAGTATTAGCATGGAATCTTTAGTTAATACTATCGCACCTCTTGAAAAATTTGCGTCTATTTGATTTAAAGCCGTATTAATTTTTCAGGCGTAGTTCATAGTTATCATTTTAATAACAATATATGATTATTATGATAATAATGGTTTTATACTTCAAGTATTTTATTTACATTCTTGTTTATTTAGCAATTGTAATTAGCATAGTTTTTTCAAAAATCACACATAACCTTGTTATTAAGAAAATCGCTATAAATAAAATTATAGAGATTTATTTTAAAACCTGCATTAAAATGCATATTTTCATATATAGTGACATACCAATAAAAATTTCCAGTGCTAATAATTTTGCTGCTACTGAAAATTACCCTAAGCAAGTTCAATTTATTTTTAATTGACACGTTTGACATTTTGACGTTTATTAAAGCAAGCTAAATTTAAAGAATTAATGAAAGTACACATAAATATTAATATTAGTGGTATGCGTACTTATAATTATTATTTTATAATAATGATGAGTAGAAAATGAAGTAGTTATAATATTTTTTTTCATATTATTAGATTCAAAAATATCATCTGACGTCGGAGAGATTCGAACTCCCGATCCCCTGTTTACGAGACAGGTGCTCTAACCACCTGAGCCACGGCGTCTTTAAACAATTAATTATTTATTTAAACAAACACGACTAAATTATTATAAATCTCAAATTTAAAATTGATATATTGTATAATTTCTCAACTTTTTAGTACTCATTGATAGACACAGAGAGAATCGAAGTTATCACTTACAAATCAAAACACAAAAATTAGATATATGAACAATTACCAATAATTTTTCAAAATGTCAATTGAATAAATATTATTGTTATTAATGAAATCTTTTTCCGATCTTACAGAAAATTTAAAATCTTAAAAAGAGAACTATTCAATACTGAACATGTTATTTTCAATATGTTTCAATTTCTCAAACTCATTTAATTTTTTTCATTATCCAAATTTATGATAACTTTACTAATAATTCAAATTTTAATTATAATTTTATAAGAATAAAATATACTTTGGCTTAAACGTCTGAAGCTTCTGTCTGTCGAATAGAATATTTAGCATAAAATTGTCTCTCGTAACTGATTTAATTTTTGTACGTCTGACTCGTCTAATTAGTGCTTTTAATTAACAAAATCATATTAATTTGATACAGAATTGATTCGCAGAGAAGAAATATACTATATTTCAATTTATTAATTTGTTTGTATGATTAATTAATTGATGTTTTTACATTCAAATCGCATAAAATTTAGTTAATCATGATTTTTTATATTAATCAAAATTATTTCTATTTATTTCCATGCAGTTGCTTTAAAAATGATTAGTGTCAAATGTACAATTATAATCTCTACTTTGAACTTTGCTGCATCTACCAATGAGTATCGGTATTGGACAAAACTATTCAAAATTAATACATGCAATTACTACAATAATAAAATCAACATGAGCATAACATAAAACAGCTATCAGGAGTGTAATGCCATCTTTTATCGTGTCGAATTGAATTATTAGCTTTACAGAGTCAAAAGTCGTCCAACAAACACTTGTAATTAAAAAAGAAAATTGTAATAAGTTTATTATTGTATAACATGTATGTTGTCATTGCCATACAAAATGTTTTCATAGTTATTCGACCGTATCAATTTAAGCACGCTCGTTTATATATGCCTATGTAATATGCATAATGCGCACAAAGTTAGTATTATTTGTTTAAATAAGTTAGTTCTCAACTAGGAATTTTACAGCGAATCAACATGAAGACGCAACTTTCTTGTCTGTGTAACCCGATATAAATTGGAAGCGAAGTTAATTAACTCATCTAGTAGAAATTTCGTATGAGTTTATATTAAAATCACAAATGTGCCTTATATAAACATTCTTCACACATGAGCGTATTTAACTTAATTCCTAGAGAGAAATTCATTGCAGAACTTCACTTGCAAAATTTTATGCGAGTGCACTAAATTAAAGCGTGTAACTATGCATGTAATGGAGTGTGTTCATTTCGTATACGATACGGGAGCAGAGGGAACCATTATTGAACACTATATTTGATAAATACTCATAATTTATATATATATATATATATATATATATATATATATATATATATATTGTGAGGGACATCTAACCATTCGTAATAATTATAAATAGTATAAATATAACGGTTAGAATACAAACAACGCAGTATTCTTCCTGAAACATACAATACGATGTATGGTCAAGCCTAGAACGTGTTCCTAATAAAATTTTATTTAGTATAAGTTCTTCAGTAATTTGTCAATTACGTGAAAAGTGTACAAGAAATCATGAAATAAATAAATACATCAAACTTCTTTCTCTGTTTACAATGATTCAGCCTCCACAGATTGGTAATAGTTTTGTTAGCAGCAGAAAAATCTACATATTAATTATTATCTGTGGTGGCCTTCTACATATTGTTTGGGGTGCCATTGGATGTCCCAGCATAACTATATATATAATATATATATACTTTCTAGAACATTTTTAATATTAAAAACAACTGATTGTTAATGGAAGTGTACTAACTGTGTACTGTTATTGCGTTTTGGTCAATATTTGGATAAATAGGAAGGGTGAACAACTTGATGAAGAATAAATGATTTTTTTTTCAATTCAAATTTATGCTATTTTATTATCTCAAGAAAGTCTGATTTAAATTTCAGTAGCTAATATAGAAAACTGAAAGTTTTTTTTTTAATTTTGATGACTAATAAAAAATAATAATTATTTTTGTTATTATTGAAAAAAAACTTTTTGACCGATTTTACACAAAAGTGAACACCTTAAAAGTTCTATTTTTCAAAACTGAACATGCTTTAATATGTTTCAATTACGCTTCTTCCTGTCGATCAAATGTGTGATCAAATTCGTATGCTGACTCGTTCAATCAGTGCCTCCAAATAACAAAATTATATTAATTTGTTATAGAATAGACTACATCGCTGAAATAAACTATAATTCAGATTGTGATCTGTATTACAAATAAAATTGCTTTTTTAGACAATAAATTTACATCGAGTTATAAAACATATACACCGAAAAATTCTATGAAATTAAATATATCATATTTTTTCATAAAATCGAAATTAATTTCATGGATATTACGGATATCAATGCTGATGATCTTGATCTCGCCCTTCGCTGCTTTTACAATGAGTATCGAAAATTTAGCGAGAACTTACAGATTATATAAATTTTAAATTTATCACAATTTATAATTTTTTGTTGTAACATTAATTAATTATTCATAGATGCCGTGGCTCAAGTGGTCTCGTAAAAGGAGATCGGGAGTTCGAATCTCTCTGGCGTCAGATGATATTGAAGCTTATAATGTGGAAAATTTATATTTCTACTTTATTTTCTACTTATCATTCTTACAAAATAATAATTATGAGTACACATGTCACTAATAGTAATGATTTATGTGCACTTTTATTATTTTTTTAAAATTAGTTCGTTTCTATTAGCATTTCTATTTGCATGAAGGTCAAAATGATATACTTGTCAGTTAAAACAATTGAAATTTTCTTATGATCTTCTCTAGTAGCTAAAATGTCTATACATTCAAATATGCATATTAATATAAGCATTAAAATAAGTATTGTGATTTTATTTTTAAATTAATGACATTGGACAAAATTATAACAAAACAATACATGATTCTAAGATCTTTATAAAATCAATTCTATGAAATCTACATTAGCATATTTAGCAAGAGGGCAATGTTATGTCTTATCGTTTGCAAGAAAAGAATCTTTAAATTCAAATATATACCTATATATATATATATATATATATATATATATGTGTGTGTGTGTGTGTGTGTATATATATATATATATATATATAAATATCTGAAGAAGAAAGTGATAATATGAAATGTATAAAATGAATGGTAATCAAGCGAGGAAGATGGTTATAATATCAAAATCTGGCAAAATTACTGCGAAAATTATTTTAATGATATTTCACGCTGTTGTTTTCTGCTATTAATCACAAGTATTTATTAACATTGTGTACTTCATTTTGAATAAACATTTGGAACTTATATTTTCCATTTTTTAAATGTTACTGTGATTTCATGAAAGTGAAATCTCTTGAACCACACGAAAAAGGCCAAAACTGTAGTTGTTAACCCAGAAACAAATCTATATATATTATATACGAGGTCTGTTCAAAAGTACCCGGAATTACTAATAATTAAATTTCGCGGGTCTGGAGTGTCTGATTGTCAAATTTTTTTTTATTGTGTTGGTATACATGCCCCTAAAGTATGATGAAATTTTCAGCTATATTCACTGTTTACTTGTCTGTGGTAGTCGCTAAGGTTCGACGTGTTTTTCTGAGCTCGGCGATTTTTACAATGGAAGAATTGAAAAGTCAAAGAATTTGTATTAAATTTGCGTAAAAAATGAAATAAAGTGTTGCAAAGTGCAAAAATTCACCAGATATGGCTCCGTGTGACTTTTTCCTATTCCCAAAGTTGAAGAGACCCATGAAAGGACGGCGGTTTTTCCTCGATTGAGAAAATCGCTGAGAGTGCTCAAGGACATATCAAAAGTGAATATCAAGTGCTTCGAAAATTGGAAAAACGCTGGCATAAGTGTATTATATCTGGGGGGACTACTTTGAAGGGACCACATTAATGTAGACGAATAAATAAATATTTTTTTGAAAAAACGAAAATTCCGAAAACTTTTTGAACAGACCATGTATATATATATATATATATATATATATATGATTAGTTTTTTATAATTCTTTTTTATAATTGTGATGTAGTACTTTGTTTTTGTTGAATATATATGTGATTATATTCTTTTCTAATTACAGATGGAGCCAGATCCTCGTTTACGAAAATATGTAAGTTTCTTTTTATTTCTGTGGTTCTAAGTATATACAATGTATATCTATATATATATATATATATATATATATATACATATACATATATATATAATATATAATATAAAATTTTATGTAATTAATTATTAGAAAAAAGTTTTTTAACAATTTTGATAAAACCACGCGGTGATAGAGAACTTATATGATCTTTATGAATATGCTTAATATTATATATTTGCGAAAATAGGCTTAAAATATAAAATTTCAATAAACCGAAATTAAGGTGTCGCAATTTTAGGTTTCTATATTGCAGAGTGCTTGCAAAACCGAATTATTATTAAATACTATTATTTACACATATTGTGAAGTTTATGCAACCTTGCGACAAATAACTCATATCAAACAAACAATTATATAATTACGTTCAGTAAAAATCCCAGCATTTTACTATTGTAGATCTACGTTTTTTTTATATTTTTGGATAAATGTAAAGTGGTTCTTTTAGCTACATTATTTGATCAAGGATTAAGTTTAATTATTAGGTTAAACAAAAAAATTAAAATTTGAATCTGAATAAGTATTCCTAAACGTTCCAAATTTCTAATGAAACAAAACATTTTGTTAGCTTTTACTACTATCATGATTTGCTCTGGTAAGTAGTTTTGGTTTATCTATTATAGTCATACTTATTGTATATTGAAATACAGTTGTGACAAATAAAGTCAATACAACCTTCGTATGCAACTTTGTCTAAAAAATTCATAACAATTGTTGAAATAACTTTTAATTTATTTCATTTTCTGTAAAATTGTTTTTTATAATGTGTTTAACATTTTTATTTACCAGTTTCTTATCGTTTACTCCTCGCCAATTTAAATGTTTAGGTGGTACTTTTTACCCCAACCATGTGTTGACTATTTTAGAGCTTATATAAAAAAAAACTGTTGAATCTAAGTCTAAGCTTGAAACGTATTGATTTTAAAATTAACAACAACAGATTAGCTTCTGCGTGAACATCTACATTTACACTCATAAATAGGGTTGGTGTAATCATGTAATACTTAAATCTACACGGTAGGTATCTAGTTTGTATGTAACCCGATGATCAGGAACGCTCAGTCTGGATATCGGCTTTCGTCCCAACCCTCTGTAGGCCAACAATCAGAACTGCAAACGTTAAGCAATTCTGGAACAATCGCAGCATTATACGTTGAATTTACAAGCGGATTAATCGTGATTAAATATTTGCTTCAAACTATTCTGACTAGGCGACCGTAAATCTAAGGGTACATGTTATGCTTGATTTATTCCCTTCGTGATCAGTTGAATTATTCGGTTACCATATTTCTTACAAGCTTGATTTGTGTGGGTACTTGGGAGTAAATAATCAGAAATTACCGGTTGCAACTCTGAACAAAAGTGAATTTACAGCGCGCCGGAAGCCTTTTAATTTGCGAAGTACAGCCATATTAATTAGAAGACCGTCTTATGTGAATATCATAGTTTACAAATAATAAAGTACAAAATATTACAGTTAATCATTCGACTCATTCTTTCCGTTGTAAAACGGCACATTACCTTCGCCAAAGTAGAGCTTGTCTATTTTCATGCGTACTACTCTAACTCATAACTAAAAACTCCATATTATATTCTGTTATATTTGTATAATAAAATGGGAAGGCTAGGGGGCAAACTGATTCAATGTCTTTAAACTTTACGAAATAATAGCTAAATTATTCAACGTGATTCAATGTAAAATGTAAATTTCATAGGTACATTTTTAACAGAGATAACACTATATACTCTTGTTCTGTTATTGAATCAAAAATATTTATCAGCCGAGTTGGCATAACTATGTATTTATCTCTTGCAAAATTGCTTTCCAATTTAATTTGCTTCTTTCTTTACTATTTTTTATTGTTTGTAACTTTGCCAGGGTGAAAGTTCAGCTACGGTTTTTTGCCCCATCTACGTGTAAACTTTGGCAGAGGTTATATAAAAAAGTCTTGAATTTACTTATATTAACAATACTTCTTATAGAACAATTAAATAATGTATGCTCATATGTTATGTTAAGGTCTCAAAATCTAAACAACAGTGCTTACAATGAAAGTAACTTACAATTAGTTTATACTTCTGTTTTGAATTTTCTCAACTATTTTCGTTCATCTCCTGACATCAACATCTTAAGAATCAAAGTGGTGACTGGTTTATACATCCTTTATATTTACTTTTAAATACTGTTGTAAAAAATTCCTAACTTTAATTGAGGATCTTTAAGGTCCGTCTTTTTCTGTCGTCGGCATTTATTTATATTTGTTTTTGCGGCAAATCTCTACATTATATGTATTATTTCACTTTGCAAAAAAGTACACGTTCACAGAACGTCAAATATTTCTAATGTTCCAATTAGTGAATTATAGTTATAAATGAATTATTAATTATGCTCTAAATTACGATAATTTGAAGACGATCAATTGACCGCAGTATTAGTACAGAACTGGCTTAGAGTAATAATGTTAAGAGTATAGGTATGTTTATTTATCTTTACAAGAAATATATAAATATTAAAATCTATGATCTGTGATTTAAATATATCAAAACATTTTGGAAAACCTTAAAAACAAATTATTACAAAGAGTTTAGAAACAAAACAGTAGAATGATTATGCAGATAGCGAATGATGTGCATCAGGGTTCTTTCGGAGAGGTGCGAGTTCTTGAAGTTCTTTCTAGTGATGCACTTGCTAGTATATATGTTCTTCCAACACATGATGATCGCTAAAAGTTTTATAACCAAATATATCAAAATCAAATATTATTCATTTGACCATTAGGCCTATAAATAAAATAGGAAGTATAATAGTATTCACACGATTTCTAATCGCGTTTATTGCATCGTATATTTTGAATGAAGTTTACATTGTATTACAAAAATAATTAATCAATCATTTTATCCTATTTACAAGTAATAATATAAAATTATCATTTATGATACAGAATTATATATTTACACCACGATCATCATCAGCGGTATCTGGTTGAAACACGAAGGCACCAAATCGACGACAATGTTTGTGAAAAAGGATCAAATTGCTCCTATAAAGATGATCAAAAATGACATCACTCCGAAATGCACAGGAACAATTTTAGTATATCCGAGATATTTCAGTACCAATGCAACAATTATGGCTCCGTTTGTAACGGTTTACCGCATGGATTCTATTGTAAGTCCAATATTCCCTATTTTCCCGCAATTAATTTGGTAGTTCATCCTCCAAACGCTAAATTAGATGGAAATATTATCCTAGGCATTGGCCTTCCGAATACTGGCATAAATCTAATTGCTCCATCCATGGAAATGATATATCCAAATATTGCAACAACACATCCTATTGTTGATCAGCAGAATGATGTGAATCATGCAAATTCTGGTTATAATTTGACGGCAGCAACTGTGGGTGATTATGTTTTTAATAAGTTGACAGCAACAGAGGTTGATAAGCAATTAGACAAACTGGATGAGAAAACAGATGTGCAACCCTTTCCTGATAAAATAGCTGTGTTGTCTTTGTAGTCAGTTCATCCAGCGGTTTAGCCAAAAATCAAGGTACTAAAAATTATATTGATGATAAACTCTGGTGTGTTTCACCTTTAGGATTATGGTCCTAACTTGGAACTGGATTGGTTGTGGTGAAGAAGGGACAAATTTACATATAATATAATCAACGCCGATGCTAATGATATATTTATTTCCAATAACGTCATATTCTCTTCGATAAAAATTACTGCAAAATTGATTACTAGTAATGATAAGTGTCATAACCTTTATGTTTCGACCACTGTGTCAACGTCCGATTTATAACACCAATTTGAATTATTATGATGTGCTTGAAAAAAAAATAGAATTTATTTATAAAAAAAATTAAAATATGATACGAAAATATTAAATCTGATTCCGTTTTATGTCTCCAAAGCTAACTTCGAACCCATGACCACATGGTGTTGCCACAAATTTAATGTATCTTAATGATTGACTTTATTAATATTCATAGTAATACAAAATACTTTTTTTATTTAGAGTAACTTTTACACATGTCCTAAAATGTGCAACAAGTAACTGTGTAGAATTAAGAAAATGACTAAAAATACTAAATCGACAAATATTATTGTAACAATAATGCCTTATTCAAGTAATACTATTATCTCCACCGACTTTGTGGCATATGTCATTACTAACATGAGTATATTATATTCTCATATTCTAGGCATATTGAAGATTATAAAACTTTAATAACTGAATTATTAATTGAAAAATTGATTACTAGTGAAAACAAAAGTATTAGTAGTCGTAACCTTTTTGATTTCTATCAATTTGAATTTCGTATAGTGGTTTGCTTGGAGTGCAAATATAGAAATTATTTACGAGAAAATAAACTTTGATATGAAAATATAAAAATTATAAAACCAAAGCTAAACTAATTACCAATTAGTATTGCCACAAATTAAATATTTCTCTTTGATTATCGGATTATTATATTCATATCCAAGTAATACAAACATATTTTCTTATTTTTTAGTAAGTAGTAACTTTACCACTAAATCTTGTGACCATTGTCCATGATTAAAAATACTAAATCTTGTGACCATTGTCAGAAATTTTGAAAAATGAAAGATATTAATGTAACATGAAATTCTTTTTCAAGTAATACAAGCATGTCTACTTACTAAATATCATTACTAATAACATATTTTAGATATTAAAAAATTATTAATTGAATTAATAAATAATTTAAAATTAGATACAGTACATGATTTTATGTCATCTTGAGTGGAAATAAAAATCCATTACTTACAATTAACTTCTAATTTATAAAAAATATACAATTACCTGGTCTTGTCGTTTTAAATAAACAAATCTTGAACTACCCATAGTTATACAGAAATTTCATTTCCGATTATTTCGCGATTACTATAACTTATCATACGGAATGTCAATAAATTGATTAGTTAATGAAATTGTACACATTTGATGCATAAGTAGTATCAATATCAATAAAAAGTATTTTGGTCGTTTAACAATGACTATTTATTGTTAATACATATTGAAATATAATATCTCATTAATAAATATTAAATACAATTTAATTAGAATTATATATAGATTAAGGGATAATATGAATATGATGTAGCGGGGCTTAAAGGTCCGCGGGTGAAAAGATCCACCGCCGACATCTCAAAAATCCGTGAAGTTACGAATTTTTTAACAACAATATTTTAATGTAGAAAAAGAAACATGTATTATCCAGTAATTGTAACCCAGTAACCTAGATTGTTACTATGAGGAAAAATGCGGCCTTGTATGAAAATCCTTAACACAAGTACTTTCATTCGTTGTTAGTTTTTGTAGTCGTGAGAACTGTTATTTAGTTTACGAGACCTTAATAATTTTTGAGTATATATTATTTAATTGTTATATTGTAATATTGTTGATTTTAAATTGAATTCAACATTTTTTTATATAAGCTTTATAAAAGCTTGCGCTTGGGTAGGGTGTAATAGGCTAACTTAACCTTCAGCCTGGCAAAGGTGTAAATAATCAAAATAATAAACTAATGAATTAAGTTAAAAGGAGCAATTTTAAAAGTGATAAGTTAAATGAAAAAAATTTCAACTCTGCTGATAAATATTTCTGATGATATACCAGATCAAGGTTATTTACAGTGTTACCTCTATGAAAAATGCACCAATAAAATTTGTATTTTGCATTGTTTGAATAATGTAGCTATTATTTTGTAAAATTCCTTCAAAATTTAAATAAGATATTGGACTTGTTTGCCTGCTGGCCGTCTCAATTTACCCCGCCTATGGGGTAAAAAGCACCAAGTTAAATTTTAAACCGTATAAAAAACATGTCTCTACAATGATAAAGCTAGAAGTTTCACTGACCATAGTCAAATAGTTGTTCGACTATGTGATATTTTGTTGTGTTGTAATTAATTTGGTTTTCACAATATAATTGCTTAAAGTCAAATTGGACTTTTGTGTCCCTCCATACCCTATATTGTTAGCTAGCTTATTTTCTATTTATGTGTGTATGTATGTGACACACATTGGCAATATAAATATTTCAGTGGTGTGTTACGTTTGGGTGAGTATATTAATATCTGCCAAAAAATCACATAGATAATATAATGATTCATATTCGAATATCTGTGTGAAAATTGTTATGCGACTCTAGCTGACACGTAACACCAATCATATCGCACGGTCACTATATATCTCGACTGACCGGAGCGTAAATCAAACGGAAAAATGAAAAAGCGACGTCCGAGGAGTGCGAGGACATCGAAAAAACAACTTTTTAAAATAGCTGTAAAATATGTCATTTATATATCATGCTCTCTTATCCTCGTTTTTATCTAGCTGGATATGGATGTATTTTGTGTGGGAAATTGGGTGCCCGCATCTCTGTCCCATACCGTTCAAATACACAAGTGACAAATCGAAAAGCATTAGCGGCTTTCATGATAGATCTCGTTGCAGTGTTTGATATTGGTGTTTGATTTTTAGTGTTTTTATTTACAAATATTTATTCTAGTAATTAAGAATACACAATAATAATAATGTTAATTAGTGCTTTGTTTAAAGGTCTATGGTGCGACAGTATCTACCTTTTTATCTGATTTGCTATTTTAATGCGTGGGGTCGATATTTTAATTCATTGTTTCTTGGTAAACGATCTTTTATTTTCATGACACTATAAATTATCAAATAATTAAAGTGAAATTAATTATATTTTTGCATTTTTTAAATATTTTTAAGATAAGAACGATATATAAGACTCAAGCATAAGTTTCTTATAGAATTAAGTTTGAACGAACGAACTGATAATATTGGGAAGTGTATTTCAAACACCTTTTTTGTAAATTTAAAATCATTTTAAAGTTTTCAATCAATTGCGCTTTTTTAAGTTTTGAAATACATGATTTTTTTAGTATTATCAACTTTTCAAGAACAAATCAATTGAAAAGTAAACATTTAAGAATATTATCAAGCGATTGAGAAAAATCGTATTCATAAACATATATTAATTTTCAAAAGATTTACATTATTTTTTAATTCATTAATTGAAATATTAAGTGTGGCAAGTAAAATTCACGAATGTTAAATCACCCATAGTGTGTTAACTTTCTTTTAAATAAGTTATAGAGTAAGCGTAAAAAACTAAAATGAAAATTTGTGCATAACTTTACGTTTCAACATTCCTGAACAGTTTGGCTTACCTCAGTAAAAATAGAGTATATGTGTGTGTATGTTTGTTGGATACAATATTTCATCCACGATTTCGGACGCACGGATCTACCTATTTTATTGATTCAAAATTCGATTTCTATTGATGGGGAGAAGCCGTTTCGAAGAAACAAAGCGAAAATGCAAAAAATGACAATTCAGTCTTTGAGAGAAAGAAGCGTTGACTGATTTAAGAAAAAAACATTTTACTTGTATCGACGCAATGAGGAATTGAGTAATTTTTTGGAAAATGAAATTCAACGGTTCCGGAGATTCAAAGACAAAAGTTGAAGAAACGCCATTTGGCGGACAAAATTGTTCATTTGGAATATGCTCAGCAAATAATCAAATATCTTATAGAGATTTTGATAGGTACCATTTTTTACAAAGATTTACAACGTTAAATCGTTAGGCTGCGATGCGATGCTTACGCGCTTCGATATTTCGTTCTTTAAAACCGCTACGCATTAAAAGAATTTCTAAATTATCAAACAAATTCATTTTTTATGAAAGTTTCTAAAATGTTAAAAGTTTCTAAAATATATAAATTACAGTACTGGAAATTCCATCTATTTGCTTTAATGTCCAAGTCCTATGAAGTCAATTGTGTATTGTATCCATAGAGAGAAGTTCTAGTGAACCATTTAAAAATATAATTGCTGTACGGTGTTTATGGATCGCTAATAAAATTGGTTTTCTCCGAACATTAAATTGCCAACAAAGACATTTGTTTGTAAGTAAAGTAACATGCATCGAGTATTCTTCGGTGTACAATCTGTATAGTTGCATGTCGAATATGCGCTCGTAGAGATGCCAGAGATCAGCGCCAGTTCCGTGGCGGTGATGTATAGTCGATAGACCGCTGGGAATTCGTCTGCGGGACAAGTTAGCGACATTGTATTTGTACCGTATTACGGATAACTACATCGGGAATCACTACTAGGGATGCGAATATTGACTTAAACTAAGGTGCTTATATAAAGATTAAGTACTTTTAATTTCATTAAATATAAAATCTATTTTGTAGGGGAAAGTCCCCTAGTGGGGGACACCTAAGGTTATTTATAAATAAATCAAAAAATATTTTACGAAATGTTTATTAAATTATGATTTATATTATATAACAAAGTTAGAAATGAAAGGAAATAAACAAAACCGCAATCTTTGCTATAAAATAATACTATCAATCAAACTTTGCTATCAAAAAATATGATTTTAAACAGTGGCACCTAGTACCGGATATTTCAAAATAACTTGCATTGATCACATATGTAGCCATCTCCA